AGGAAGGGGCGACTAAGCAGAGCGAGAGACTGATGGACTAGTTCACACTCTCCACTCCAGATAAGACACGGGCTTAATTGATAAATAATGAATGTGTCCGGGGAGAAGCTCTCTGCAGTGCTTCCAGGCCGGAGCACAGCCACGGCAGCACACAGCCCTGCAGTAAAGACCCAGTCAGCTCCCACGGCACAGAGCCCGCTCTCGAAAACGACATTGTGTTCTGCCCACAGTGGCCGGCACCTTTAAAACGCTCTGTAAATTACTGTGAGATAAGTTACAAAGACATACCTAATTTGCTGTGATGAATTGTGTGCATGCTTCGCTGATCAAAACTGCAGCTGAGACCTATTATATTTAATGATCTAGACATTTCTCGTGAAAACACTCAAGCATATACTGTTATGTCTGGAAAAGCGAGCAAGCTGAATTTTATTTTGCCGGTTGGCTCCCCCCCCCATACAGGTCGCTTTACCTGGGCATGACTGAGAGCCGCTTTCGGAGGCAGGGACTTGGAGCAAGGGGTCAGTCAAGGGTCCTGCCCGCCTCTTCAGGATCCCAGATCCAACCCAAAGACACAGACGCAACAAGAAAGACCAGCCTGTAGCCCCTGCAGTGCCTGTCTGAATCCTGACACCAGTCACTTCGGCACCAGAGTCACGCACAGCACCTCTGTCCTCGGTCCCGGACCTCTCTCCCCCAGGGATCTGCTCGACTCCCTGTCCTGATGAGCCCTGCCCTGGGACCCAGCTGGGGAATCGGGGGGAGGGGGGTCCCTGCGCATGCCTCCTGAACCCCAGTTTTTCAGCTCATAGGCCCGTCTCTAGTCCTGTACACTGAGGGGGCTCGTGGGGACCCAGGCCGGGCACTGCGGGACCCCACAGCTCCGAGTAGGGGGCCACGGGGAGGGAGGAAGGAACAGTCACATTCACTAGCAGCGCTGCTTCATTAGGGGTTGAGCAGCCGTGTCCAGATTCAGGTCACAGTAGGGGGGGGTAGGAAATTGAGAGCATGGGGCATCTTTCTCAGCTCGTCCTGCATGGCAAACTTCACCTTTGAGGCAGGACAACAAAGATCTGAGATTAACCATCCAGAGAGCGTTAAATACTTAAAGGAAGCAACAGAGTCAGTTTATCTGTCATATGCACAAGTGCAATGAAATGCTAATGCTTCCATACATGTTTATTTTAGGTTCCTGGGCACGGAGTTTGAGGGCCCGGATCTCGGGTGATTCGCAATGGAAGTCCAAGTGCAGTTTCTACATACCGAAGTCCTGACAGCTACCATGCATCAATGCATCAAAAGAAGCAGTAATAAAAGAATCAGGCCCATAATCAGGTTGACCATAATCACAGCACCTCATATTGGGATCTGCTGTCACAACCATGAACGGGAGCAGCACATTAGCACCAGATGCCAGAGGCAGAGGGGAAAGAAGAAAACTAATGCCCTCACTGGATTGTGGAGTAATGTCTGGGGCCTCTTGGACATGCAGGGCTGCAAAGAGGAAGGAAGATGTCCATATTTGCCGTCTCCCAAGTGTCCCCACCCCTTGAAAATTCAGATTGGGTCGTTGGGGGGGGGCCGTGCGAGTCGAAAACTCAAAATTAAAAAAACAACAACAGACACAACCAACCCAGCTGCCGCCTGTATTTAAATATTTACAGGCGGTATCAGAAATCATGCACAAACATGCAAATAAAGACACAGGAGCTGGGGAGAAGGCTTAGGCCCCTGGAGGACAGCATTACAGCATTAAAATCAGCAAAGTGAAAAGATCAGCCATCCTCTCTCTGAGTGACAGCACAACACAAGGGGTACCGGCCTGGGGAATTGCACCAGACAAATAAAGCAGTCTCTCCGAAGTTTAGACAAAGCGCAGATTACAAATCCATAAGGCAGGGTTTAATGGTACTGATCATGCAGAAGGCATCATTTATTTACTGCGGTACGTCTGCAGTATTTATGCTGCACTGGAGAGAAGGGGTAAAATATGCATGGGGCTTCGGTACTACCCACTGAAGCAAACGAGAAAACCGCAGGCAGCGACGCACCAGGAGAAAGGCCCTCCTGGAACACTGCTCTGGCTGACATTGTTGTTTTTTTTTCCAAGGAGAAGAGAGACCCAGGAGGGCTCTTCCTTCGCGTTTCCTATCCCCGTCACAGAGCATGGGAAATGCACAAAAGCACCTACAGCGTCTCGGCTCCAGCTCTGCTCCTGCCTCGGCCCCCAGCAGAGCGGGTGCTGCCGTTTGCCTCCGCTGCAACAAAGGACTTGCGCCTAACTCCTGCGTTCCGTACGGCGGCCGCTGACCCAGTTCGGACGTTGTGAGCAGAGGACCCAGGACAGCGGGAAGGGTTTTTTTGCTGCAGATTGCAAAAGACCGTTTCGGAAGGTGCCCGCAGCGCGCCTGCTGGTAAATGAACTTCCTGTCCATATGCCAACGAGCTCCTGCTCTTGATCACTGTCATGGTGGAGGGTGGCTCTCAGCGGTCGGCTGCAGGGATGTAGGTCACGGCTGGTAATGGGAGCCATGGATCTTTCCCAGCAATGAGCCTCTCTGCCCAGCCTCCCCACTGACGGGCAGGGCTTTGGGGGTGAGGCCCCCCTCCCCTCCAGAGCGAATCCCACCACGGCCCGCCCGTTCCACAGCCAGATTTCAGAAAGGAGGGAAGCAGTCCCTTTCTTAGGAGGATTTCAAACGAGCTTCCCGATGATGTGAACATTCAATCAAGGCTCTTGTTCTGACACCACGCAATGCCCCGCTGTCCAGGGAAGGGCACAGCCCTATCAACCAGGATTCAGGTCTTCTCCGTTTCTGCTCTGGCCTCTGCTAGACTGGAATGGAGGCAGTAAGTAGTAGTTGTGTTTTTTTTTTAAAAACCCAGCACTCCGAAAAGGAAGCCCTGCTGACGGATGCAGCAGCTCAGGAAGCAGTGCGTTGTGGGCTTGGGGGGGGGCTCCTCGCTCTCCCAGTCCCCTGGAGCTGGGGGCTCAGACAGGCCGTGGCGGAGAGTGTCAGAGGCTCGTGTCGGGGCCCCCCGGGAGCCGCTGGGATGAAAGAAGCCGTGACAAACTTTCACAACGGTGCGGGGAAACAGAATAGGCAGGCGCGTCAGGAGACCCTAATTACACCGCTCTTATCTGGGGGAGTACGAACACAGCTTCCATTAACCTGAGATTAGAACGGCTGAGCGGCGAAGCAGCCAGCTTCCTTTCGAAATGACAGTCCGCGCTCCACTGGCACACACACACTGGTCACCACGACAGCGCCTTGGTGAGGAGGCAGAACAGGAGAGGCCCAGGACTACAAGCGGAGATGATTACCACACAGCAGCCAGCTGCCCTGGCAAAGGGGGTGTTCAATATTTGAGCGAGAAAAACACCCCATGGCACCGGTCCGCGCCGGCCGAACGAGGAGGCTGACCGCCACGCTGGCTTCTCGGAGAGACACCTGAAACGGTCAGCACCGGGACACAGCCGGGAGGCCGCCATCACCTCGGCAACAGGGAAACACAGGCGGGCTCTTGTAGTGACCTGCGCACCAGGTGTGCTCACGGTGTAGATCACAGAGCAGTACACAGGCAGCAGCTCAGCAAGGTTTCTCGGGTTCGCTTCTGGAGTCCAGTGTTAATCGCAAATACCACTGTTATCCTGGATCCAGTAACTACACGTGATCCGGGCTCCAGGCTGTAGACCTGGAATAAGTTGCAGGTTCAAGTACCTGCTCTGCAGGATCAGACTATTTCTGCTAGGGCAGATTCTTACCAGAACTGCTCAATGCAAAACTTAATGAATACATGACCCTCTCACGTGCCTGAGCGGAAACTATCCGTTAAATCCTGATACTGGCACACAGAAGTGCAACTTGAGGACAATCTCAGCATCCTGCTCAGAAGATCACAATGTAATGAGCTACATGCAGTGCCTCGTTCCGGGGAACAGCTCCTATAAGAATACCCAGCTGCAGGCACCAATGAAAGTGGCGCTTGTAAATATTCGAACCCTTGGTGCATGGGCATGAACAGGGTGCAGACTGTATGATATTTCTTTCATGGCAAGAAATATGGAATGACTGCAGTATGTTTTCTGTGTTAATACAGTACAAAAAAAATATTGAAGATTTTAAATGGATTTTTCCCCTCCACTAGCGTTAATGGACAAAAAGAAACAAATGCAACTCCCTACAAATTTCCATTTATTTCAGAGGGGTCCTTCCCTGACAGGCCTCCTGTTGTAAGCGGAGATGATTACAAAACCACGGCCAGCAGCCCTGGCAGGGGGCTAAATTGATTAGCCCAGCGACAGAATCAGTCACTGCGCTGATCGTTACTTGCACAGGGAGCTTTGTCATTAGGAGGGGGTATTAATTAGACCCGTTAACCTCTGTATTGTGATGCACAGGGTCACTTAGCTGAATTTGTTTCAGGACGAAGGCTACTATACATCACTTCACTCCTCTCTCCTCCTAAGTTTCCCCCACGATGAAACATGTATCATCGGAATCGGTCCGCCGCGCAAGACCAGCCATTTCTGCCACTGCGGATTCCTACCAGACCCGCTCAATGAAAAACTGAATACATGCCCTGCTCACGTGTCCGAGTGGTCCTAGAGAGACCCTAGCCTGAAATCTCAATACTCTCACACAGGAGAGAAACCCGGAGACAGTCTCGGCATTCTGCTCAGATGTTCCCAACAGTAGTGAGCTACATACTGTACCAACGCACAGGTGAATGTGTTTAAAAAATCATTTTAGAGCAGCAATGATTCATTTCGATAAGAGATGACCTTTTTAAAAAAAAATTCTCGAGCATTGCCTCATTTAACTGAAATCACTGGGCATATCAGATAAACTACGCTGTGGCTGTGGCTGTGGCTGTATGTTTGGTTATAAAACAGAGTCCGCAGTCGCAGCTGTGACGCAGTTGTGGACCGGGTGAGCACGCAAGCCGGGGTGTCCCTGCTTCGAGCTTGGGTACACAGACCCCGAGAGGCGACGCACCTGCAGCTCTGTTTGGAAGAAGAACTTCTGTGGACACTGGGAGCAGTCGTAGATCTTGTCCTCCTGTCCGTGGACAGCGAAGATGTGCTGCTGCAGCTTATTGGCCTGCACAAAGACTGCGGGAGAGAAACACAGGACCCCGTCACCATACTGAGAGACGGACAGGGCGTCTGGAGTAATATCCAACCATGCAGCTGAGAGGAAGATGGTACTGCTACAGTAACTCGGAGCCCAGCCGACTGTAGTGTTTCTGAATGGCAGCGGAGGGGGACAGGCTGTCCCAGTCTGATGCCATTACCAGCACACTGAGCGCGATTCCCACCAGACCCCGTGATATTTATCAATAAATCATCCTTTTATTCCTTCTTCTCTCTCCCTCTCCGTTTCTTTCTTTTTTTTTGTTTCAGTAAATTTAGTTTGCAATGTGGAAAGCATAAATTATTTAACTTCCCCAATACTGACGCTTCACTTATTTATGACCACCCTGGAATACAACAAAACTTTAAAAGAGCTTCATCTCCCAGCAGAGAGAGAGAGAGAAAGAACAAAACTAAAGAGCAGCCGTGTCTGTGGTGCAGGGGAGCCGGAGAGACGCAGTGGGGACTGAGCAGAGGTTGAGTAGCACAGACGTGGGGACTGACTGACAGGCCTCAGCCTGCAGTATGGCCCGGGGTGGGGTTACAGGGCAGACCCCAGGTGACATCAGGGTATTGCGACACAGGTACAGGGCCAGTCGTTCATCATCATCATCATCATCATCATCATCTTGATTTATGAACAGGATCATTTAACTTGGCTAGATGGACAGATCAGCCCAGTGCAGTGCTCATGTAGACTGGTGGTTGAACAAAATCAATAAAACTGGCAGTACAGAGCTTGTCGCTTTGGAAAGGGTTATGAGAGAGCTGGCATTTTTTGAAATGTCAGCAACCGGGCGTCTCCTGCCTGTAGCTGCTCCTGTCTTTGATCCTCTCCGTGCCCCTTTCTCTCTTGAAAGCTTTGAGGACCAACAATAGAGCCGCATGGCTCTCATGCTCTAGGAGCAAGACGAGCTAAATCTTCAACCTCTTGCCAAACACAGCTGAAAGATTTCCACTTCCCAGCGGCTGTACCTGTAGCTCTCTTGAATCAGGCTTGCCCCAGCGTGTCATGCATGTGTTGCAGAGCTGTTTCAGTCAGCAGAGTCAGACATTTCACTGTGGACCAGGACTTCGCAGTAGCCAGCCCTCCAGCAGCCTTTGCTGCTCGTTACTCAGTTCAATTAAGCAGTAATGGAGCTGACAGCAGGGGAGCCTTGACATGTCAAGGACAGGGCGGGGGGGGGCATGCTGGGAAGCCCAGGTAGACTCTGAAGACATGCTCAAGTGATACAGAGCGCTGTGATCATCCCTCGTGGAGGCGGAGCTGGTATTAAACACCCACGTGCAACCCGCCCCAGCATCCTCACCTGTGAAGCAGACTGGGCACTTGAATGTGCCTCCCATCCCCTCGAAGCTATGCTCGATCAGGTGGCACAGGAGCTTCGCCGGAGAGTCAAACATCTGGTTGCACAGCTTGCACTCGTGATTGATTCCTTCCTCTGCAAAAGTTCAAATGACACAACTTGTTACCAACATGGAGGATGAGGGTGGGGGAGAGAGGGAGAGAGAGAGAGAGAGGGAAGGGAGGAGGGGGTCCCCCACTCAAACAGTTGAACCGGAGGGACAGAGGCAGATCGACGCTGCACCGCCACTGCCTCCCTGCTTGTCCACTGTCCAGCAGCAAGAATCTTTACATCACGCACCAACGCTGGCACGCCAGTTTTTGGACCGCGCCAGCGTGCTTAACTCGCCACCACAAAAACAAACAAAGCGCTGGCTTATACTTTCACAGCATCTCCTTGCTGCCTGGAGGCAATCTGTTGCAGCCCCACACCAATCAAGAGGCCCTGGCGATGCGCTGGCAGCGCACTGAACAACACTACCCTTCGGAGCACCCTTTAAAGTGTCTCTGCAGTATTGCCACAATCGCTATGATCCCTGAATAGGACCGTGTGACAGGCACGCTGCAGCAGCAGCGGCCACGATCAAGCACTCTCTCAGCCAGGATTATTAAGCAGGCTACACATTATTGCATATCCACAGGTCCCTGGGATGGGGGAGGGGGGGAATTTCTGCAGGAGTGCATAACCAGGCAGGGCAGCCATGACACGCTCGGTGCCCCCCGATTCTGTCTCCGGCTTCCTCAGACGTCCCTGGCAGTAATTGCCGGACAGCTCCTGGAATGCGGACTATCTTCCCTCATCATCGCACTGTGGCCGGCTATTTTAAGACCCACAAATGACATCACCCGCTCCCCTAAGAGATGAAAGGGACATTGTGCAGCCCTGCCGCGCAGTGGTGTGCTCTTATCGTGCGTGCCACAGAAGACCGAGAGGCTGCTTTCGGCCCGATTAGATCGCCACCCCCACCTCTCTCAATCGCAGGGTCCCAGGACTTTGCTAGTTTTCTTTTTCTCCCCTTTTCCTTTAAAAAAAACACCACCACCACCTTCTTCGGGTCCTGCTGGGGTGTGCCAGGCCAGGCGGGGTTAATAAAGTCTTCAATCAAACTTGCTAGCCCACTGAGTCCGCTGGGCTTTTCTGTTGCCTTGATTGAACCCGATCTAGGCTTAATCTGAAAGCTACCACACAAGCAGGCTAATCCCTGCTTGAATAGTTATAGCAAATGAATTCAAAGAGAAAAGAAGGTGAGGGGGGAGGGAGGAAGATGGCGGGGGGGGGGGGACAATAATTTTTTTTGCAATCTAAGGCTTTGAATACCCAGTACTGACAAGATAAGACTGTACAGCAGCGCGCAAGTGGCCCCCGAAGACGCCCCAAGCCAGAACGCAGGTCAGAGCCCTGGGGTGCTGTTCTCAGGTGGCCCCAGAGCCAGGTGCCGCGCTGGCCCGAGAGAGCGGGGGCAGCGGGCAGTGATTACAGAGGGGGGGAGCCTGCGTGTACATCTCTCTGCCTTCCCTCCACCCCTCTCTTTTGTTTAAAAAAAAGAACACAAGCCCTATCCTTTTAATAAATTCCACAATTTTACACCTGTTTCCATCAGCGAAATTACAGGGGCGCTCGGTCGCTCTCCTCTTCCCCGCGATATGCCTGATCGGTTGGATGCCGTCAGCTTTAAGCCTTGTGCCTTGTCAGGCACAAAGTGGAGGTGCTCGTTTTGTGTAGAAGCGTCATGGGGAGATGATAGTATCCTGTATCGTCCTGCCTGCCTACTTTTGTCTCAGAGCATTTGATCCCTGGCAGACACACAATCATTTCCATCCTGTCCCTGGGGAAGGTCTGCAGGGAGGAGAGGTGATTATCGCAGAGCTGAAGGTGAAACCTGGGTAGTGTCAAACTTCGAGCGAGGAAAACTCTTCTCTTGCCTCCTCGATTCAGAGAGGTTTTTTCGGGGGGCTTTCTCATTCTGTAATGTTGCCTGACACCACTGCAGGCTGCAAAATTCGGGCAATGAAATTCTCCAAACAAAGGCCAAAGTAAAACCGATGGAAACGTTTGCAAACAAATGTTGAATATTTTTTCAGGTGAAATAAGAAAAATATAAAAAAAACAACATGTTTGATATGATGATCATTTAGGACCTGCGTTTTAACTTGCACGCAAGCAGGCAGAAATCTTGGTTTCATTCTCAATGTTTTGCCAGCTTGGCTCTCCTCTTTAACTCCTGTGCCAGCATGGGAGGGGGGGCTGGACTGTGTGCTGTCAAGACGTCTGCCATTTTGCACACAGCGAGCCCCTCAGAGCCCACAGGGGGGTTCAGTTTGGATGGAGGAGTGACGCAGCTCTCGCTGAGAGCACTGCAGCATTGCAGTCACCCAGGAAGCCACAGGAGGCGCTGTTTGGCAGCAAGCTAGGGGACAGCTGAAGCCGAGCTCGTAGCGGTGAACTCCAGGGCTCAGTCTGTCCTCCAGATGAGTGCCTTTACTGCTCAGGCCACGTAGGAGCCTCCTCACGCTCCAGGCTTCAGCATCCGAATGCTGCACGTGCGATGGCGGCGATTCTTCGCACGAAGAGACGCGCACGCGAGGTGCCGAGGCCGACGGCGGCAGACTCCTTCCAGACGCTGCCAGGCGAGATCTGGGGGTCCACTGGCTGCTACAGACGAGCAAGACCGGAAAGGCAGCCCTCCTTGTCAGAAAACCGCCCTCCCCAACTCTGCACGGATGGCGAGTGGCACCGAGCAGCACCAGGAGCCTGTGCCACAGGGCTGCTTGCAGGAGCTGCCCTCCCTACCCCCCCCGTCTTATCGCAGACCGTGATTCCCGGGGGCGAGGGGGCGGTGGTGCTGGTGGTGGTCTCAAAGCTGCTGGAACCCAGTGGGTATACAGAGCACAGGGGGACAAGGGGAGCCTTTAACTGTGTTTGGAAAAGCAAACCCACAGCCCCTCCAAAGGTACGCACTGTCTTAACTGAGAAACGGACTGGGGCCCCGGCACGTCCGCGGAATAACTGATGAGGGCTTCCCGCGAGCGGGAGCAGAGACGGGAAGTAAAGGGATGCGTGAACTCCTTTATTTATTATTGCAATTTGTTATTCCACTAACTCCACCAGCACAGAGTCTTATTTTGCAAAAACATTGGTGCTATTTCTCGGATATACTTCAAGCTAATTAATCTGGGGGGACCAGGTGGCGCCCAGCTCGGGGCCCCCAGGGACAGCCTGCAAGAGCCGCCCCGCTGACTGGGGGACCCTCAGCCCCTCTCCCCCGCGGCACGCGGAGAGACACAAATGAGCTCCGCTGGTCTTAACACAGGTCCCCGGGGACACAGGCACTCCTGAAATACTGCTCTTACAATTAGGTTCAATCTGAGCCCTTCGCCTGCCTGCGATTGATGGCACAGACAAGGAGAGCAGCACCTGGGGAGGAGGAGGAGGAGGAGGTGGGGGGCGGGGGGGGGACCGAGGGGGTTCCTTTGGGGGCGAGTTCAAGGTGTGTTGCTATGGCAACGCGGCGCGAAAGCTCAGCGCTGCAGTTGACCCATGGTGGGGGTAGCAATGTGGGCCAAAGCACGCACTGCTGGAACACGAGTGGCGAAAGCTGTTCTCTCCCTCTCGCTGCCGGTTGGGTTGGCTTCCCTTACTTTCTCCTTATTTTTGAAGCTAAAAGCTGAAATCCGCGAGTAGCGAAACAAAACGGATACCATCGCCGCAACAACCCCCCCACCTCACCCCCCAGCTCCTCGCTTCTCACGCGTTCGCGATTGACTCCAGTAAATATTTCCGGAGAGCGGCCTCGGCTGCCAGTGAGATGGAGTCTCCGGCTCCAGATATTTTTGGCAAGTGTCAATGGCATATGGAGCTGACCAGCTTGGAATCTCCTATCAGATTACATAACAGTGGGACGCTGGATCCTTACACCCATAGAAACCGACCTTCACGAACACAAACACACTCGGCTTCCAAACACCCTGCTCTCCTTCCCTCTCCCTCTCTTTCCTTCTCCTCCTACACCACGAGGCCCTCTGAGAGAGGGAAACGGACAGCCCAAGCTGGTGGCGTGTGGGGAGCACTGCCGGAGTTTTAAAGACTCCCGTCCTGACTGCTGCAGCTCCAGCTCTGAGATCGCAATCCTCTCTGGTCCGTTCCCAGCTCTGGGGTCGGCTGCCCTGCCCCGGAGCCAGCAGAGGACGCCCTTAACACAGACCCTCTTCCCCCATTTCTCCTCTCGCCGGTTCATTGCGCTGGGTGTGATCAGAAGTTCGGCTGAAAACCTTTATCCTGTCTCTCCCTCTAAGAAACGCCCGCCCCCCTTGTTTATCCTCAAATGTCCCGAAAAGGACTAGAGCGGACTAGGTCTTGGTTATTTAACTACACCCCAGATTTATTCATTTGCTATTTTTTCGAACTGCTCTCAGTTCCAGGTATTTAACGACAAAATGTCATTTGTAACCTAACGTTTTTAGACCTGCTAACAGTAGATAATTAAATTATGAGTTCATTTAAGATCTCAGTTGAACAATTTGGGCCTGGGAAGTCCTGGACTAGAGATAATGGCTTGTTGGAATAAACTAGGATACACTTAGGAACAAGATATTCCTCACACCTGTGTGGACACCACATTGGGGCCAATTTTACAGCCACAGATGGGAAATTTCAACCTACTAACTACTTCACTGCAAAATGATGGCAAGCTGTTAATAACAGAACAAACTAGTTTCATCATAACGAAATACCCTTTTGAGGTGAGTCTTGTTCTTTCTTTGTTGCCCTTAGACTCAGGGCAAATATACCGGCAGTTCTCCCTTTTGCAAAGATTTTTTTTTAATGAACCTGTGGCCCAGCAGAGTGCACCCCCCTGCCCCCAGTCGGCCCACATCAGTACCAAGAAACCGAAATCTCAATTCGGCCGCTGAGCCGGCCATGTGTGGGCTGGGTGCTCTCTGCCTCAGCAAGAACAGGGTCTCGGACCCCCAGGCCTGTCTGCGGCACTTGTCTGCACTCTGTGGTTCAACATCCAGCAGCACGAAAGCTACAGTCCCCAGGTGACACTGGGCACCGCAGGGGAGGGACTGTAGCATTGTGGGACTGTATCCAGCAAT